CGCCCAAACACTTGATTCAGAATCTTCACCGTGCCCCGATCGGAGCAGCGAGCATGCTGCGTCGGGTACGTTCTCCTGGTCTTGGGAACAAGAATCGAAAGAAAAGCATCCCCTTCAACTTCGAGGCGGTCGCAAGGAAGCGACAAGTCACAGCGGCGTGACGCCAGCAGCTCGCCAGGCCTGAGGAACATCGTAAAGCCCATGAGCAGCAAGGCCGCCATCACAGGCCAGTCCCAGGCGAAACAGAGACCGACCATAGCGCGCAGCAGAGCGCGAGGTAAGGGCGGGCGGAGCTTTGGCGGCTCCGCGAGCTTCCATTGTCTCGCTACGTCCCAAGCTTCTGTTAGAAAGGCCTTCCAATGCGGATGAGCGCTCTGGATTCCCAAGATGGCATGAACCAGAATATAATGAGGGAAACCTGCATCATGAAGCCACACGCCGAAGGTCGCGAGGAAGCGGGCGAGAAGTAGCCCGCTACGGTAAAGAGTGGCGGGCGGCACGCCAGTGTGTTCTGCTAACCACAGTTCGAACGCATCAATCGATCTCGAGCGACGATCGAGATACGCGGAGGTGAGGTGAGAATCGCGCACGAAGGGAGTGCGCGGAGGGCGAGCGGGCGCGGAAGGCGCAGCCCGACTAAGCCCTTGGCCTGCGGTCGGCGCCGCGGCTCCCAGAGAGATGCAGAGGCCGCAGACGCACCACAGGATGAGCGCAGGGCGGCCAGGGCTGGGAGAGCTGATCAGCGTGGCGGCCCTCCTGCTCCTGGACGCGTAGAAGGGCGGAACGAGGGTGTCCCGCCCGTCGGTCTCGAACCCCGACGCCTCCGCCAGCATCGCCCGCGCCGAGGTGAAGGATCCGCCCATGTTACGGTGAGCACGGCGAGCCCCTGCTTCGATGTCGGCGGGCAGAGCGCCCCCTCCCTCGAGGGTCGCCCAGTCAAAGGGCGGGCGCGGCTCGGCGCGCGCAGCTGCGGCCGATTCGGCGAGCTCGGAACGAGCTGCCGAGGACGTGAGGCCCGAATGATGTGGAACGGGCACCACCTCCGCGAACGCGTCGAGGATCTCGGACGGAGGGGAATGAGATCCCCACAGCGCTGCTGGGATGGCGCCGTGACCGTCCTGCACGTGGTACAGAAGGTCGAAAAGGCAGGCCAACTTGCCCGCGCGCCTCCTGTGCTCGATCTTTGAGCCGAGCCCGATGCCACGGATGGCGCCCGCCCCCATGGCTTGGAGGTCAGCGCCCGCGGGGATAGCCTCGGGCTCGACGGCGGCCACGTAAGGATGCAACCACGAGGCTTCGTCGATCGGCTCGGCGCCGCCTGTCTGAAACAGGCGCTTATAGGCGTGCAAGGCCTGCAGGAGGCAGTGCAGGTCATCTCTGCCCTCGGGCTCGGCGGCCCCTGCGGGTGCGAAAGACCTCAGCCACGACGCCGCGCTCTGGAAGGCAGCTTGCCAGGCGGGTCCCCACCTCACCACTGTGACCTTCTCACCGCCGAGGTTGAGACGCCACGCTAGGGCGGTGGCGGCCCCTGGAGGCAAGGGCTGCTCAACGGCCGCGGAGGCCGTGCGCCGCGCTGCGAAGGCTGCAGCCGCGGCGCTCCCAGCGTCGCCGCTGTGGGAGCCGCTGGGATGCAGCTCGTGCCCTGAATCTCGGCCAGGCGCGGGGCCGCTCGAAGACCCCCTTTCCTCGGCGGCACGCCCTCCGCCCTGCGGGGCCGCAACAGCATCGCTGGAGGAGCGCGTGCCTACCGAAGACGGAGGGGCCTGAGCAGCGGAGTCCGCGCGGGAGCTGCCTGCGTGGGCGTCGCCCGAGCTCGCATCATGGCGGGACGTGGCTGGCCGCTGCGCAGTAGCGGGGCTCGGGCGCCGCTTCGGAGCGACTCGAGGGGAGCGCACCTCGCGACGCCGAGGCGACGTCGCCTGACGCGAAGGCGCGCGAGAGGAGCCGCGCGCGACGGCCCGACTAAGCCCCTGGCCTGCGGTCGACGCGCGGGATCGCGACGCCGCACGCCCACCAGAGTGGTGAGGGGGCGGCGGCGGCGGCGGGGGCACGGGCCGCGGAGTCTCGGAGCCTAGACGCGTGCCGCGGCCCCGAGAGCGACTGCGAGCCGAGGCCCGAGCGGCGGGCGGAGAGGCCCCCGAGCGGCGAGGGAAAGCCGCCTGCAGGCGGCGGAGGACCTCGGGGTTCAGGCCCGCCACGACGCGCTCGAGGTCCATCGAGGAGTCTGCGAGGGCACTCAGCACGACGTCCTCGAGCTCCGTCGGAGAGTCCTCGTCGCACGCGGGCTCCGCTCTCGAGCGGCTGCGAACGCTCGCGGGCGGGGACCCGTCAGGAGTGTGCGGGCCCTCCGATGCCTCCCCCGCAGGCGGCTCCGACGGCTCCTCGGGCGAGATCGGGCCGTCGACGGGAGGCGACGAGCAGCCCCCCGAGGGAGAGGTGCGGTCGGTCCCGTACGGGTTTGGAGACCGCGTACGGCTGCGGGCAGGGCTGCGGCTCCGCGGTGGGGAGCCCACTCCCGCGGCGGAGCTGGGGCGTGCCGCGCCTGCCCAGCGGCGCGCATTGGCAGTGCGACGCGCCCTGCGGCCAGGCGCCGTGGCGGCCCCCCCCTCAG